CCGGGCCGTCCGCACCCCAGGTCCGCCCCCGCACCTCCCGGCCTCCCAGGGCTGGGGGAGCCTCAGGTTGGGCCCAGGAGCCGGGAGAGACTTTTGCAGGTAGCGTGTGCCCCACAAGGCGGGACAGGCTGGTCGCTCTGGCCTCTCCGACGGTCTCGGGCCGCTTGGGCTTGATGCGGTGCATTTCACCGGTGATCTTGCCGCGCTGCTGCGAGAACAGGTAAAATTCCTAGCAGTCCTGGTACCCAGTAGTGTGATGGTGATGTGTAGGCCGTACTGGTGAGAAGTAACGGACTCCTCTTTGAGTGCCCTGAATTATCATACAGCCTTGTGTTCAGCTCAGCCAAAACTTGTTGAAAATTATGCCCTAAAAATCCTGCCCTGAAAATAGAGCAGAGAGAAAGAGAATTATTGTCTGTTATTATCTACCCCACCCTGTGGGGAAAGATTTATGTCAGCTTTTACTCCTCAGGCAGGTAGTTTTTTAGATGGAGAAACTTATTCCAGGCCGTGGTTAATTATCGTTCGTCCCTGTAAGAGAAATAGAATTCAGACTCCCTGTCTCCACCCCTCCCTCATGAGAGATTAATCTCTAGACTGTTAGCAGCCCCCTCCCTCGAACCTTTTTAGTCCTCTCCACCTCCTCCCTACCTCCTTTCTCTTCGTTTACTATGTCTTCATCTTGTTGACCCGCAGGTTTTTCGTTTTTTCATCCTGTAATGCTGTTTTGGTCTCTTCAACTCTCTATGTCTTGCTTAAAAACTGGTAGATATTTGAAGAAGGAACATTACCTATTCTAGATGTTTAGTAGCTTAAGAGCAACTACCCAGGCTGGCTTGGGGATGGCTGTAGATTCTGCTTTTTAGTGGTCAGCCTGTGGAGGTGCGGGCCTGAGACAAAATCAGTAATGATCCATGAGCCCTTGTGGAGGCGGCACAAGAGAAGCTTTGTCCAAATCGTTCATTACTGTACTGGTGCCATGGAGAAACGCACTTGTGTGCGTAACTGTATTTCAGTGCTGTAAAAGAGCACAGATGAAGGCAGATTTTTTTAAAGAAAAGATTATAAATTGTATTAAAAAGTGAAAAAGAGGAAGCACCCAAGACTTGAAAGACTAGGCCTGTGGGTTGATAAAGGATATAGTCTGGACCTCAGCCTGTAACCATGACATTGATGAAACAGAGACATTGATGTATCCCTTGTTTTCATTGGGCTTATACATCTTGATCAGCAAAAAGAGAGCTCTGATATAGAGACCTCTCATATATCATTTACCCTGACATTTTTGATGGATTCACTAACAGGGAATATTTATTGCATGCCTACTTACTGTGTGCCAAAAAGTGTGGAAATAGTAGTGGACAAGACACACGTGGATCTGCCCTCGAGGGGCTTATTGTCTGACGGGGGATATAGTAAACAGTAAATAAGTCATTACCTAAAATAGCTACAAAGGAAATTTGACAGAGGCTGAAAGGAAAAGGGGGAAAACTGGAGTGAATCATTTTTCTGGAGTCAGAAAAGCACATGCAAAGATCCCAGCAAGGGAAAGTAACTGATCCTATGTATATCTAGGAAAATGGTTCTGTGGCCGGGAAATGGGGAGGTAAAGATACAGGAAGACGTTAGAGAGGTGAGCAGAGCCTAGTGCATTCAGGACCATGTACTCATGGTCAGGAAGTTGCGTGTGGTTATCTGTACAAGAACGCATTCATTGTAAGGAGAGGAGAGACACTTAATGATTGCATTTAAAGTGACCTGAGTTGCTCTGTGGAGAATGATTGCAAAGGGGCAAAGGCAAAGATAGGCTGACCCTTGAAAAAATGTTGGCAAGCTGAATAAGGTTGTGTGTGCCAAGCTACTCGAGAGGCTGGGGCGGAGAGATCATTTGAGCCTGGGATTTTGAGACCAGCCCAGGCAATTGTCAAGACACCGTCTCAAAAACAAAAATTTTGCAGAGCTCAGACAAGAAATGATAAACCCTGGAAGAGGCTGTTGTCATTGGAGAGGAATTTAAGAAATATTTTGAAGACCAGGTGTTGGTGTTGAATTTGATGTCAAGGATGAGGGGAAGCAAGGCCTAGGGAAAGACTCCCAGGTACTCTGTCTTGAGTAACTGGTGGTAATGGCAAGAGTAACTGGGGTGAACGCGAGCAAGTCTGGTGGAGAAAGAGTTTGGTTTTGAACCTGTTAAATTTGTCATTGAGAAAGGACATACCATAGTCCTTGGGAGGGAGAAAGGGAGAGTTTCCAAGACAGAATTGGATAGACTAGCCTTCGGTAGGTACAGCCGATGATTGTGAATTTAAGATGAAACTCATCAGTCCATTCAGTATCTGATTTTTCTTTAGCCACCTTCACCAACATGGATATAGATACAGAGAGCACGGATAGCTGATTTCTTCCAGGGCTAGCGCTTTGCCAAGTGGCTAGGATGGAGAGTAAGAGAGTTGAGGATCTTTTTCAAAGGAGTGGTTCTTATATACACTCTGAAATCCAGCCTACATTTAAAAAGAAACCAGGAGCAGATGCTTGGGGAGGAGAAAAAGTAATGTGAGGTCCCTAGATAAGTTGCTGTCTACGTTTATCAGTGTGAATATTTAAACGAAGATTGTTGGAAGGCTAAGAGATAGTTATTGGTGGTACCAGGAAGTGAATGCCTGCGGTGGAGTAGAGGCAGAAATTTACTGTTTTTGAAGAGTAAGTCAGTGAAACCAGGGGCCTGAGACTGAATGGTTTAAGTCCTGGAGAGGGGTGACGGTTACTGGGGGTACAAACAATGTGTGTGTTCTGTGGGTCCGTGGTATGAGGAATAAGCTGAAAGTCAATGATGACATCAGTGAGATGGGAGACAGGAAATGGTGATGCCAGGAGCCTCAGAAGAGTTGGTGTTGTAGGAGAGACAAAGAAGACTCGTGTGGGCTTACAGAAAATGCAGCTGCCCCATGTCATAGCTCTGGAGGAGTGAATTTTCTTGATAACCTACCCAAACCTGCGGGTTGTGAATATCCTCAGAATCTTTGAGGACAGCTCCAAGCTACTGCCATTCAATGCAGTAATTAATGCCCTAGATATTTCTACCCAAAGCAAATTAAGCTGTATTTTTCAAAATTAACTTAGCACAACCACTTACTGTTCAGCTAGAGAAATGTCAGGGAATCCTTCTAAACTGAAAACCTTAGGAGGCCACGTAGCATGGTGTAGTAGAATTCTCTTACCTAGATAACTACTAATTCTCAGATATTAAATGCATACAGAAAGTCAAATGTCACAGAAAGCTGTGACCTTGAAATTTCAAGGAACCCATGTGTTAATTAGAATGCTTCTAAATGCAGTTCCTATAATTGAAGTGCTAAATATAAAGTGGGGCTGTACCATTACTATATTAGTAGTACAAGCAAAAGAATTTTAGTGTTGGAAAGGACTAGGAGTCAACTACAGCTTCTTTATTTTCCACTTAAGCAAACAGACTCAGAGAAAGAGAATCAAAGTGATTTCAGAAGCCTACTCTGGTCCTTTCACCTCCACACCACAAAGCAAAACTTTCTGTAAATGACATAGTTTTATTAACTGTTTAATGTAGATTATTTGTGAATAATATCAAATGGAAATATAGGTGAACCTTAGAGTTTTTTAGTCAAAGTTTAGCACACGGATCAGCTCCACAGGTGTCACCTAGGAGCTATGAGAAATGCAGAATTTAGCTTCCCCCAGACCTAGACCTGGTCTGCTCAAGTCAGCAGGACCCTTGATGTCAGGAGAACTGAGGAGCCCCTTCTAAGAGAAAGAAGAGACTCTGACATCAGAATATCTGAATTTGCATTATTATGAAAGAGTAGGAACAGAGCGTGCTGTGCAGCGAGATGATACATTTGAGGAATGGCGGTACCACACTTCCCAGAAAGCAAAGGGGAAATTGTAGAAGGGTGAGTGGCTCTTCTGATGTTGCCTCTGCCTGAGGAGCAACAGGGAATGGACTGCAGGCATTTTCTTCAGCTTCCTACAATCAAAGGAAACTGTTACAGTATCACTGAGATTATGTTTTATTGTTACAAACAATCAAAGTGGACATAATGAGAGTCAAGAAGCCATATCTGTTGTCTCCAAATAGCAAAATAAGTATTAGATTAAATCTTAAATCTTTTAGTAGCACTGTTTTCAATCTTGGTTGCATATTCATCACACGTGATGATCTCTTTTTTTTGTTTTCTTTTTGAATCCTGATGTCCAGGTACAACTACAGACCAATTAAATAAAAATTGAGGTGGCAAGTCAGTGAGGTGACCAAGGGTCACCCGTGTTTTAAATCTCCCCCAGTCACTCCATTGTGCTGCTGGGGAAGGGAAGTACTGCTTTAGGAAGAGGCAGCTCTGAATGTAGTTTGTCCTTGAACCCTTCCAAAACAGTGGGACCCTCCGGACTACTCCAACACCAAGCGTAACACAACTGGTCACACTGCAGGGCAGTGGGGTTTTCAGAACACTGAAGAAGTAGGATCTTTTTTTTTTAAAGAGGGGTTTGCCTATGGCCAGTTTTCTTAAAATTATTAACTTTTAACTGTAACCGAAAGTCATTAATTTGTTATATATAAATAAAATGCTTAGTTGTTTTCTTTTAAAGTTGCCATGTATGCTTCAACATTCCTGATTTCATTGCGCTGACCCTGAGAGCCAGAAGCCAATGCTTGTTTGGTGTCATTATAGGATCAGCACCTATCCAAGTGCTGAGTGGACAGGGCTGAGTAAGAGGCTGGAGAGGTTAATGGAGATGAATGAGTAGAGGGAAAGATGGACGGACGGATGGATGGATGGATTGATGGATGGATGGACAGATAGATGGGTAAGTATCATTATCATCTTTGATGGTGGGCTGACTCCTAGATTGGTAGCAATCACCAGAGATATGGCACCTAAAGCTAATGGCACTTAGTGGGCATCCATACTGCTTGTAACTACAGATATGTATAGCCTCTTAAAGGACAAGGGATTGAAGTTAGGGAAATAACTTCAGGGAGGCTAGTGTACTAAACTATTTACTTGTGAAATACTGCAATACAGAAAATCCTTTATTTGCTAGCCCATAGGGGTAGGTATCTTTATCTCAAATTGCTGTCTGCCACAAGATTATCAGATGGGAAAGTTATTTTAGCCGTGCTGTAATATGCTATGTCCAGCTTCATTTCAGGCATAGTTCAGGATCGCACTAAACTCAGTCTTATGA